AATAACCTATTGTTTAAAATCGAAAAAACAAACTTACCAAACATTTGTTGGTCAAAATAATACATCATGTAAACTAAAACCAATTCCATAATTTTCATATTTACTAAAACTCTCTGTGAAAGCTTTATACTTAATCAATGTTGATGAAAAATTCTTCCGGCATATATGCTTTTCTAGTATATATAATCTAAGGGCACATGACATTTTCCAAATTATAAACAATTCAAAAGTAGTGGAATTTGTTGAGGTTGATGCTAAATACAACAAATAGAACATCAATGTTGAAGGTAAGATAAAACAACATTGTACACATTTATTTAACGACATTACATTTATATACTTTAAAAGAGTTGTATCGAAAAAAAACTAACTAATATTTTATGAGGTCATGAAATTATATTGTACTAAAATTAGTTAAATGTAGTCTAAGGTGCTGTTTGTTTTTCCGAAGTGAATCTGTCTGAAGTCTGCGGACCACCTCTGCAGCAGAAGAGGTGGACCAAAGTGCTGCAGACTGTAACGAGAAACATGTTTGTTTTTTTAACATCTGCAGACTGCGGCAGATATTAAAAAATTTAAAATAAGTAATTTAATAAACCGAAAATAGTTTGTTAATACCAAAAAATTAATAGTTGTAGTCTTAAAACATTGAAATAAAATTCAAACAACGAAATTAGTCTTACAATAACATTTTTAAATAAAATTCATACAACCAAACTTTAATAATTTTCATTCCATATTTTACATCAATTGTTCGGCAATTTCATCCTGTAACTGGCTCATATATTCACGGTCCGCAACAGTACCATGTGTTGGAATCTCATCTTCATCATTATCAACGACCGCATTGTTATTCCGAACCGAGACATTTGGTTCATCATATCGTGCAAAAAACTCATCACGTAGTCCCTCTCTTCTTATAAAATTATGAAGCGCAAAACATGCTAGGGTAATGTTTCGTTGTGTAACCAACGAGAATGGTGCCATCCTCTTCAGTATAGGGAATCGTGCTTTTAAGACACCAAAAGCACGCTCAATGACATTCTGAAGTTTTGTGTGTCCATGGTTAAATTTTTCTTTATTCGTTAATGCACGTCTTCGACGGAAATCTCCAAGCCAATACCTAACATTACGGTACGGTGCCATAAAACCTCGAATGTTTGCATAGGCGGCATCACAAACATAATATTTATCTGTAAAAAAACAAAAAAAAGTCATTTATTTTCAAATAAAGATAAAACTATTTAAATAACCATAAATTTACCTGGAGGTGGAAGCGGGAATGGTGCATGTGGATTTGCTAATGCTTCTGATAAAATTCTAGAATTGTGTGCTATCCCTTCCCAACCGGCAACAGCAAACGTAAACATCATGTTAAAGTCACATATTGCCAATACGTTTTGGTAACAATCGCTTTTTCCCCTACTTCTATATAAATCCTGTTTGTTTGCAGGGACAACAACATCTATCAAAGTGTCATAAAGTGCACCAACTGCTCCCTTGAACACCCGCAGTAGCCTCCTATTATGTCCCGTAATGTTTGGATTCGGATTAAAAGATGTTGGTACTATAATGTCATGTGCGAAAAGCAACATTTTGTCCAACACTTCATGAAAAAAACTTATGAATTGTTTGCTTTGAGTGTTGAAATCTCCGCTTGATAATCACATAACGTTGGTTATGACCGATCATCATAAAAAACATAGCCATCTTCTCCTCAACCGACACATGTTTGCTATCCGTTAACGCGTAGTTTACTCTAAAATGAGCACATAGCCGGACAAATGATTCACGAGACATGCGTAGCACTTCAAGATATTGTAGAGGATTACGGTGAAGTAACTCTAACGTAAATCCATGTCCTGTCATTTCCGAATCGTTGTCCTGCACTCGTTTGACACTCCTCTTCTAAAAGTAGCGGACGTACAAGTACATAAGAATTATGAGTAGTATCTTTTTGTCGTGATCCATTACAAACCTATTAATCAAGAAAACATATAATAACATAAGATAATAATATAACATAAGATAATAATATAAGATAATAATAATAACATAAGATAATAATATAACATAAGATAATAACATAAATCTCAAGTACCAAAAAAATATAACATAAATTTCAAGTACCAAAAAACATATCATAAATCCCAAGTAGCAAATAACCAAATAACATTCAAGCACCAAATAACCAAATAACATTCAAGTACTAAAACATATCATAAATCCCAAGTAGCAAATAACCAAATAACATATAAACTTAATGAACAATCTTTCCATCCTTTAAAACTCCTAAACTTGTAGCTGTCATCTCGATCCATCCTCTTAATATTTGTGGATCATTAGGCAAATTTACGCACATCTCTCTAATATTCATGGTCCCTCCAAAAATGTGATACGCATCAAATCGTATAGGGTCTATTGGGTCTAACTCTAGCAACTCAAGCTTCTCTAAACATTGGGGAATTGTTGGCCCTTGAGTCAAATGGCATAGAGCTTTTTACATCTCCAGTGCTAAATCATCAGCAGTAATAGAAGCTTTAGGCGAGGCACAAGAAGGTGGATCAGGTGAGGCACTAGGAGCTCGAGGTCTAGGAGTTGAGGGTTTAGCCCTTTTGTTGGGGTTACCAGAAGGTGAAGCAGCATAAGGTGAATCAGCAGAAGGTGAAGCAGCAGAAGGTGGAGTCTGAGTAAAATGTTCACTTGTATGATTGGAAAAAAAATCATCTTCCTCTATGTTAATGGAAGGGGAATCCAAAAGCTGTAATGGTGCGCCATGGAAAGAAGATGATCCCGATGGTGTTTGGGATGTGGCATAGCTGAGATTACCAGATGCACTGCTTCCATCAAAGAGTTCTGCACAAAGCTCTGGAAACAATAATGGGACGGTTTTCAAAGAAGCGGCTTTCGGATGTCCCTAAACGCAATCAATGTAACAAAAGTAATATAAGAATAAATATGTGTGTGTGTGTGTGTATATATATATATATATATATATATATATATATATATGTATACCTTTTTAAAGTCCTCACACTCCTCATTTGTTAAGTTAAAAGTATTTGTTTGTGGGTTGTAAAGGTTTCCAGTTTTGTTTTTTTAAGTATAACCATCCTGTGTATTTGTCTTTAAGGTTATCATAGGCGTTTTTTAATTGTCGTTGATTCAAATCCACGCCATACTTTTCCTTAATAGTTGTTCCTAACTTGTGCCATGATTGTTCGTGCAAACTCAAACCTTTTCTACCCACGATTTGCACTTCTTCAATACAAGTTTGCAATAAGCATTTTGTTTGCTCATTGGTCCATGTATGTTTATCTCCCATTGCTAATAACAAAAAAAAATAGAATACATACTTTAGCTACAAAGATTAATCATATTCCAACATAATCAAAAAATAAGTTTAGCATATTCAACAACAATACATCATGAATGAACAAAAAAAACCATATAAGCAAAGATTATGATTTCAGCATGGAAACTTACATATAAGTTTATGATATCAGGATAAATCAACATTCAACATTCAACAAATATAAATTTCAGCAGAAAATCTGTTTAAAGAACAATATATCATAAAGTTTACATTCAACAAAGATTTTAACAAAGGTTGTAACATCCCAGCAACAAAATCCTAACTCAAATAAAAAAATTGGTACTCAAATTCATACAATTGGTACTCAAATGCATAAGAAATCGGAAAATTGGTACTCAAATTCATACAATAGGTACTCAAATACATAAGAAATCAGAAGAAAAAAAAAAACAATTTTTTTTTAACTAATCTTGAAACCGAGGGCAGCAAGAAATCAGAAAATTGGTCCTCAAATTCAAAGAATCGGTACTCAAATGCATAAGAAATCACAGAATTTGTACTCAATTTCATACAATCGTTACTCAAATCAATAAGAAATCAGAAAAAAAAAACAAAAAAAAAAAATTAACTGATCTTGAAACCGAGGGCATGCAAGAAATCAGAAAATTGGTCTTCAACTTCAAAGAATCGGTACTCAAATGCATAAGAAATCACAGAATTTGTACTCAATTTCATACAATCGGTACTCAAAGAAATCAGAAAAAAAAAATATTACCTGATGAAGATCGAGGGTAGCACGATGGCAGCAGCAAGCAGCGAAGGCGACCGGCATTGCAGAGGGGGAATGGCGAAGGCGACCGGCGATGGGGTGGCAGCGGAGGCTGGAGTCGAGTCGGACCACCTCTGGATCGATAGTTGGCTGCCGAGAAGAAGAAGGAGAAAGAACGAGAAGGCAGTGAAGTTTTTTTTTTGTTTTGTTTAGGGCATAAAATGTTTTTTTTAGATGAGTTGAGAAGTAGTTAGAAGAGGTAAGTCCACTGCTGTGTGGGGAAGAGGACAGGAAGAGGTTTTTGAGCCTGAAGTCTGCAGAAAAACAAACTGCTGCGAACCTAAAAGTACTGCGCGTGTGCTGCGCCACGCAGCACTAAGAGGTTAGAAGAGTTTTAAAAAAAAAAAAAAAAAACAAACACAACCTAAGTCCCAAATAGTGAGATATCATTTTTTTTTTGCTTATTCAATAAACAACACACACATAATTTAAGAATAAGACAAAAAAACACAAACAACAAAGATTCAAAATACCATTTCTAGAGCTATGCGCTTCATCTTCTCTATTTCTAATCATCACCTTTGCTGTTTCTCATCGTTATCTTTGAAACATGGTTAAATTCTTTGGAAAGCTATCTGAATCATAGAATATAGTCTTGAGAATTTAATGTATAGAACATGTATACTCAATTTCAAGATAACAATGTACTCTAAAAAATATATCTAATTATACTTAAATCTATTTTCTTAGTAGGGCTTTGAACAATATACTCACGTATAGGAATGAGAATTCCTTTCTATTTGGATTTCATTGTTATAATTAGGTATTTGTTTTCAAAATACAATGTCATAATATAAAGATTTAAGAGTTTATTGTGATAATAAACAAATAGACAGTTTTAAAAAATCAATTCTATAACATGAATAAAAAGTTAGTAACTGTAAAGGTTGATTATCGGCTAGACCTGCTCAATATTCTCAAGTTCCTTTTCATAGTCTTCCTCTATACATACCAACTTGACAAATTGAGCATGTGGAAAGAAATATAGTACATCAGGTTAATAAAATTGAAAATTAGTTTTATGTTTGAACTCACAATGCTTATATACAGGAACTGCCAATTAAAAATAGTAGATAATACTTGAAGTAGAGGTATTTGGAGACAATGGTGAAGTTGGATTAGTCTCCTCATTAACATGGGTAATTTCAACATTTGGTTGTCTTCTCCTCATCCTTATCAAGAGAAGTAGGAATTTGAGAAATAAATTCTTTAGATGCCTTCTTGGAAATGATGCCTTCCTGGAAATGATGGCCACTTTTATATGTAGTTCAACCTCTTGGAACTGGCTTCCAACTAAGTCTACAAGCTCACAAGGAAGAACGATACCTAAGATTTTTATTGATCACCATTAGAAAAACTAGAGAACTCTTGAAACTATCGTTTAATATCCATTCAAAACTCTTCTTACTTTGAATATCAGTTTCTCAAATATTAATTATTCCATAGTTTTTATGCTATTAGCTATTAGATCATGCATAATAACAAAACCAATGTAGATTGAAACTCATTTAACGAAATAAGAAAGAATAATGACCATTATTATTTTAGAAGAAAAGGAAAACAGAAAAATAAATAAACCAAACTTCTCCATTCTTCAACAAAAGTCTATTCTCCACCACCATCACCCTCATTTAAAACAAACATTTAAAAATAAAAAACTAAATAGAAAAAAAATTGAGGAAATATAAGATTCTGAAAAATCAGTGAACAACCCCAATGCTACTCCTTTTGGGATTGATTCAAAAAGTCAAAATTGAATGATGGGAAAGCTTACACAAATATGTTTTAACTTTGAACCTTTTGTAGCTCTTTCCTTGTCGTTCTCTTCTAAGCTAGAATAAAAAATAACTTCTTATAATTACTTTATCCTTCAACACAAATAATCTCCAACAATAACTTACAAAAAACTCAGAGTTAAGAAATCAAGAAATTAGAACAGGGAAGCCTTAAAACGTCAAATATAAAAAGAAAGGCCAAATCGAAAGGAAATAAAAAAATCAAGAAGAAGAAGATCACCCAAATCTAGAACCCGATGTTGATAAGTCCAAGAAATTTCTGGAACAAACAAATGTTCTATTTTTAATTTTGGTTACCTTGTTGAAATGGAATGAATAATTCATCTACATTGTTTTGTTAATAAAAATACGAAAAACATGAAGGCATGGAATGAAATTCGGTAACAATAACAGATATACCCTTGTAACATGAAATGCATATGTAAACTTAATAGTTTCAAGAGTAATAAACTCTTATTATATATAAAAGCTACTAATGATCCGTTAAGACCTTCCCACTTCATGCATGAGAAAAATCTAGCTACCGGGACACCATTTTTTATCACTTAGGACCTCTTTTAAGGTCTGAAAGGACAACTCATTTCGTCCAAAACATAACATGCTTCTGACTCCAGATACTGATGGCGATTCCATAGATAAGACTCTCTACAGATTGATGATCGAATCGTTGATGTATCTTACTTCAAGCTGTCCAGACATCATGTTTGAAGTTTGTCAATGTGCACATTATCAGACTAATCCTAAACTTTCACATCTTATTGCTGTCAAAAGAATTTTTCGGTATATCAAAGGCAGTCCAAAATTAGGTCTTTGGTATCCGAAGAATTCTGAATTTGATTTATATGCTTTTGCTGATAGTAATTATGGAGCCTGTGAGCTTGACAGGAAATCTACTTCAGGAGGGTGTCATATTCTTGGTGACAGGCTAGTATCATGGCAGTGCAAAAAGAAACACACTGTCTCAAACTCAACAACGGAGACGCAATATGTTGCTGCATCTGCTTGTTGTTCTCAAGTTATCTGGATCCAAAATCAGCTGTTGGACTACAATTTGAATTACTTATAAACCCCCATTTACTGTGATAATGAGGCCGCAATTCAAATTGCCAAAACTCCTGTCCAACATTCTAAAACCATGCACATCGATATTAAAATTCATTTCATCAGAGATTGTTATGAACGTTCACTTATCCGGCTAGAGCAGGTTCCCACTGCTAATAATGTGACATATCTTTTCACTAAGCCTTTTAACAAAGCTCGCTTCGATGTGCTTGTGAGATTTCTGAAAATGACTCGTTTTGAGGATTAAGTTTTTCTGTTTTATTTTTTTAAGTTTTATTAATTCTTCTTAATTTTTAAATTTATTTTTGTTTTTGTAGGTAGGTTAGTTTAAATTTGCGCATCTTATTTCCTTTTTATTTTTATTCTCACCCATGCACAAATTTAGGGGGATAAATAATCAAAAAAAAATCCAAAAACAATAAAAATCTAGAACATTAAAAATATTGCTGACATTCTTGTTTTTAGGTGTTGTGATGGGACATGATATTATCAAGTGATAACGGACAATCTGAATCTGCGTAACGTACCAAAATTGAATTGTCTATGCTCTGTGCTCGATGCGCTGGTAGGCACGAAAGATTTTAAATGGACTTGACTAGAAAAAGTGAACTTAAGGAATTTAAGGACCTAACAAACATTGAACTAGTTAGATCCGTTTAGCCTGACAATACGATGCTCGTATAGATTGAATAGGGAGATATACATGAGAATATATCGGTTACATTAAATGAACCCGTATCTAGAACTGTGGATTAATTTTTCCTCGATGTGCGGATTCTGTCCTTAATTCCGGTTTTGATGGAGTGACTGGGGAATTCCGATAAACTAGGTCTGTAGAAGATTATTTTCTAGCTTTCTGTCTATTAGTCATATGTTGCATCCTCTGCGTGATCGAGAGATCCGACCTGGACTGTAACATATGCAATTCTATCTCTCTACATCTTGTCTCTATGCAATTCTTTCTATCTGTTAGCCACATACTGTCTCCTCTGTGTGACTCATAATCCGACCTGGTACACAGTATATGCAACATTCTATTCTCAATCCCTCTAAAACATCAATTAGTCATATGTTTCATCCTCTGCGTGATTGGAAGACATCCGACCTAGATGTATAGCATATGCATTCTAAATCTATCTTCTCTCTTAATAATTGTCGGCTCACCCGGTGTAATGGGTATTCTGGAAGTCCTTGATGGCTGGAGCATATCAGGAAGCGGGAAACACATTCTAGTACAATTAAGAATTGAACACATACAGATTGTCTGTAGATCTCGCTGCTCAATTTAGGTGCACAACAATATCCCTGGTTATAGTCAGTTAAATGGTCACAAGGAAATTTATTTAAGAATAAGGGCTAAAAATATCATGTCATTGGTAAATTGTCCAAATTCTGTCACAAATGTTTCGTGCTTAAGTGGACCACAATACTGACGATCGATCAGACGAATACGTGAAAATAAGGGTACCGACAAGTGGAATTGGGCTGTCCAACAACTTTGATCCCAGCGTCACAAATTTATTTTCAGTAATTAAATCTTTAGGTTGTATATTTTATTTTATTTTATTTTTATTTTATTTTATTTTTATTTATTTTTTTATTTATTTAATTGTTAAAATTTAACTGTTAATCTTTAAATTTTGCAAATTAATTTTATTTTATTTTTAATTTTAATCTTCAAAAAGTTTTGTTGTTGAAATTTTTTGAAAATATTGGACTGTGCCTTACACTGTGTGGTCAGCAGGTAAAAAGATCAACGGTATAAAAGGAGTTTACAGTCGGAATCTTCTTCATTTCTCTATTTCCGGCTGCAAACTCTTCTCCTCTCTCTCTCTCTCTTCGAATTTTTTCTCTCTCTCTTTTTTTTTTTTTTTTTTTTTTTTTTTGTGAAATTGCTCTGATAGCTTTGAAGGTATCATGTTTTCGACCAGGGATATGAGTTTATTTCAGATATTCGATGATTTTTGAGCCTAAAATCGATGAAAAAGGGTTTTTCGGGGTTTACCGCCCAAGCTTACGACCGAGAAGAGTTTACAGTCATAAACTTCGTTTGTGGCCATAAGCTTACGGTCACGGGTTACGGCCGTAAACCCCCGTTGACCGTAAACTTCCCTTTGACTTGAAATTTAATTTTAAAAAATTATTAATTCATATTTGGGCTCGAAATTAAATCATTTAAAATACTGCTTGCTCAAATTTCTCTCTTGTATTACTTTGTATGTTTTAGTGCAGATAAAATGGCAGCATTAAAGTTTGCAGATATGCACAACCTGACATTGGTTCTCGCTGATCCACCGGTGGCTCATGTGGATTTCAAATCAATGATTCATGGATTACGAGAATACTGTTTGGCCTCCGCCATTACTATGAACACTGCTGTCTATCAGAAAATCATACATGGGTTCTGGCAGACTCCAAAATGACGAGAGATGACGATTGAGCTGTGACTATGGACGCAATTGTTCAAGGATGCAAAATTATGATCGATGACCAGTTCATCAGAAAAACATTATTGATCAATGACCTTCCAAGCTTTCCCACCGAAATCGGCATTGAAGACGCTCAGAAGATTTTGAGGAAGATGGGGTATGAGGGCGTCTCTCCACCTACGATGAAAATGGTATTGCCACCCTACTGGA